AAATACAATGTAAAAACTACACTGACAAACATAATATCAACATTATTTATAAAATACAATGTAAAAACTACACTGACAAACATAATATCAACATTCGTTATGAAATACAATGTAAAAACTACACTGACAAACATAATATCAACATTATTTATAAAATACAATGCAACAACTGTCACGACTTCTGTATCGGAGAAACAAGCCGAAAAATGGAAACCAGATTCAATGAACGCAGAAAAACACCTTCCCACGTTTTTGAACACTGAAAAACAAATAAACACAACATAAGCATGAAAACATCAACATATTAAGTATATAAACAAAGACAAACAAACGACAAATCAAAGAAGCCCTACTTATACAAGAACTCAAACCAAAAATTGAATCAATATAGAGGAATATCTTTATACCTATATTAATCACCCAACATCGAACTGCTACGCCCTCTACAATCTCGTACCTGTTCACACTCTCGTCAGTAGCGGTCAGTTTTAAACTGTCTTTGTTTAACCTGAAGATGACCTAAGTAGGTCGAAACGTTGTTCTTGTACTTTATTTCAATTAACGTTGAAGACGGTTGAGTAGGCATTGAGGGTTAAAAGTTAGTGTTGACGAGATACTCACTTGAAGTATATGTATAGCAGAGACGATTGATATAGGTATTAAAAACTTTTAACCCTCAATGCCTACTCAACCGTCTTCACTTTTAACCCTCAATGCCTACTCAACCGTCTTCAAGCAAATCATGCAGAGGTAGTTCAGCTTGAACATAAAAAAAAATCTTGCCGAATCTTCTTTTAAGGGTAACCAAATACTGACGTGTTTACAAGCACACGTAGATGAAATCGAGTTATTCATGGTTTAATAAGCATCACAGTAAAACGTGTCTCAGTTTCAAACTCGCACAGAGGGAGATATTATATCTTGAAATAAACTGAAAAACAGTATTTGTAATTTAAAAAACCGTACGAGGCGTAGCTAATCCGGCTTCCACTTGAATGATATCGAGGCGTAGCTAATCCGGCTTCTACTTGAATGATATTGTTAAGAGACGGGTAGCGATGCTTAATGATTATTGAACTATCTTAGTAGGGGTTTTTGTAACTCTTGTCATTTTGTAATAACTGTCTACAGGTAGAGATTGTGTATTCGACAAATGTACAAATTAAGGGTGGTTTTAACAACAAAATAATTTCCACTGCGTTGCTCATTTTATCATCATTAAAGGTTTTTAGGTCTGAGGACGGAGACTGATAGTAGATGTAGGGACGCTGTGGGTTAAAGCACCCAATATCTCACTCCTATTTGACCTTTCCTGCCAACTGTCTCGTTAGTTATATGCGTTTTAGGATTGTCTGGTAGACGGGATATCTCCAACGCTTTTGGAAACTATTACGGCAGACATTTTTCTTCAAAATTTATACGGTTTGAACTTTCTTAACTAATGGTATAATTCTTAATTTTCTTATTTAGTGTGTGTTACTAGCACGACAATGTATTATAATTTCATTTTGATTTACTTTGAAACATATTATAATATTGAATTTTTTGTGAGTGACAGTTCTTGCTTCGAGCTTCACTCTTGATATTTTGGTTTAATATATACGTGTAAAGCGAGAAAAAAATATTGAACTATTTTGTACGTCCTAAAGAGGATATAAAAGAGATTACGCTACGAATTTATCAATAAAGAAACCGTTTTTAAGTCATCTAGTCTCCTAAATAACCTTACTTTATATCAGTGCGATAAATGAGCTATAAAATACATACTGGACAAGACAAAAGAGCAGAGTGGAGACAAAGAATGCCGAATCGGATCGGGGGGGGGGGGGTCGAGTCGTTACTGAATATATAAGATTTGTGACAGTTTATCATAAGCTATGTGCTTTCACACACACTCACGAAAAGTGAACTTGTAAATGATATATTGTTATAGATATTGGTGAAGTCAAATAGATTTCATAATAAAAGGCCCTTCATAACTTAGATTATACAACACATAAATGATATCAGTGAGAGAGTATTAACATGGATTATACAACACATAAATGATGTCAGTGACAGAGTATTAACATGGATTATACAACACATAAATGATATCAGTGACAGAGTATTAACATGGATTATACAAAACAAAAATGATATCAGTGACAGAGTATTAACTTGGATTATACAATACATAAATGATATCAGTGACAGAGTATTAACTTGGATTATACAACACACACATGATATCAGTGACAGAGTATTAACTTGGATTATACAACACATAAATGATATCAGTGACAGAATATTAACTTGGATTATACAAAACAAAAATGATATCAGTGACAGAGTATTAACTTGGATTATACAACACATAAATGATATCAGTGACAGAGTATTAACTTGGATTATACAACACACACATGATATCAGTGACAGAGTATTAACTTGGATTATACAACACATAAATGATATCAGTGACAGAGTATTAACTTGGATTATACAAAACACACATGATATCAGTGACAGAGTATTAACTTGGA